GCAATACATAAATGATTGTGCTACAAGTGGAAAAAGAAAATAGTGCCAATGAGAAGAAAGAAAAAAGAAAACAGAAATCACTCATATAAATCTATGATTTATTATGAAGGTTATTTGACTTCATTTCAACTGGGAAGTATTTTGAGAGGATTCCATTTCTATGATTTTAACTGAAATTGGGTCTTTTTTGAGGAAAGAGAGGATGAGAAATTGTCCTGCGTGGTATGGTCAAATAGTCTCTTGGGAAGGAGTCATCCAACTTCTCCTTTCTCACCATCATTCCAGGGCATCGTTTAAATTATTCAATAATGCACTCTTCTGGCAGAGATTGTTTATGAGGGGGGAAGAAATGAACTAGAAAGCTTCAACTCGGCTTAACTTAAATGTCACATAAAACCAGTTCTTGCTTATACACTCTGAGTAAATAGCTGCTGGGTCTCTTAGCAGCCAGAGCTAGCTGCATACTAGTGGAGGGTCCCTTTGGTGCTCTCAGAACTTTCTTTTAACTTTGAGGCTAAATAGTACTTGGGTTCTTTCTATTGAGAAAATGCTACCTATAAAATTATGGTTTGAAGACTAGCTATTCTTGAATGAAAAAAAAAATCCCACATATCTACAGCAAGTAAAAGCTATATTTTAAAATTGGCGATTTCATCTTTTATATATACACATTACATTTGTTTCCTCAGGCTGTCCCACAGTGTATTCAATCTATGATGAGCTTTGTTTCTATCAGCTGGTGTCAGATAGAACACCAAAAATCCCTATGCATTCTCTTTGAGAATGCATAGGTGCATTCTCTTTGAGAATGCATAGGGATTCTACCAGTGGGCCCACCTCAGGGTCCTAGCAGCTACTCTGTTCCTGGGACCTCGGCCGCCTCTGCTCCTGCTGCCCACCTGGTAGAGAGCAGGTGGTGTTGAAAATATTCAGCCACCTGGACAGAGGTTTCTGGCCATCAGAATGGACACTGGCTGCAAGAACCAGTTCAGGCATGCTGGTGTGTGCTGGCTAAAGCTCAGCCTGTGCAGGTGGGCCCCAGGGCTTGGCTGGCTGTTCCTGGGCTGGCCATATCCATGTTTGCCAGGCCCTGCCAAGGCCTGTTTGCCTCCTGCTGCTGTCATTGGGAGGGGTCTGTGGCAAGAGACAACCTCTCTGCCTCTCTGGGTGACGTGTCCTTAGAGAGCAACAAGAGCACTGCTCCTGCTGCGTGTGCCAAAAACCACCACTGGGAGTTTGCGGAGTTTGCGGTGAAACAAATCCCACCATTTTTGTTTAGAGCCTTCTCCCTTTCTAGGCGGCCCCAGAGGGGTCATTTGCTCAAGGCAAAGTCTCAAATTTAGACTTTTGATGTGATTTCCAAGTTTAAATATACAGTCTTAGAGAGGTGCTGACTGGGCTAAAGAGGGAGATGTTTATCTTTAAATCTGATCTCACGAAAAGCTCTAGTTCTTTGTAACTTGACATGGCTATAAATCCTGTCATTTTCTTGGGAATATCATGGTACACACAACAACTTGTTGCTGTTATTATCAGTCACCTATTTGTTCATTGCACATTTTTAAAGAATTAACAATTTTTTCACAGGTTTTGGCACTTGCGTTTTTAATATATAGAAAGCCTGGGAAAATGGGGATGACCTAACTTCTCACAAACTCTTGAGAGGCCCTGGCTCCAGGCTGGCTCTTCCCAAGTTAACTGACCTGTTGTTAGAATCCTGCTTCCCACAACCTAAGCTCTATTGTCAGGCAAGCTGGTTGGACTGACTTTCTCTTCCCTGGGGATGAGTTTGTTCCCAGAAGTCTCCTCCATCTCTCTGACAAGAAGACTTCCTCTGGGCTGGACTGAATTTAGGAGGCCCAGTTTAAGCTAGACCTAAGATAACAGCCCTCAGTAGGAGCCAATCTACGAGGAGATCTAACATACTGATCATCCCTCAGCTTCCAACGGGAATTCACAGGGTGTTTGAGAACAACTGCTGAAGAGTTTCCTTCTGTTATTTCTTAAGTTCCTGACTGAGGCATCTTCTGAGAGAAAAAGAGTAGCCCTTTCAGGTGGGTCCAGGAGCCCAGTTCTGGGTATTCTAGGTTCCAGGGTGTTCTCTGAAGTGCTGAGGACTTGCATTCAAACAACAAATATTGCTCTTGGTTTTTTACTTTGGGGACAAATAGAAGAGGAAAAGGCAGTGTTAATTGAGCAAAAGGAGACTTAAGGGAACTCTCTCTCCCTAGGAGACATCAAAGCTCGTGGGCCGGGGCCACCAGGTCAATTCCACATCAGCCTCTGCGTGAACTTGGGTCAATGGCCCATCATTTGGCCCCACGTTCCTTAGATGTGAGATTCTCTGGTGTGCAGTTTCTCACTTTCTCTGCATCTGTTGTCCACTCTGGGTACCAGGATTTCAAATTGAACTTGGCACTGTCCTAGAAGATCAATTAGAATAGGTCCATGAACACTGAAAATTGTGCTAACAATGTACCACTTTGAGTCAGAGCTTCTTGAAAATGAATTAAGTTCATTAACTTCTAGTCCTTGGAACAAAGCATTCTTTCCAATTAAGAGAGTTGGCCACGGAAGACCTGCCAAAATGTTTCATTATGTGTAATCGTATTAAGGCGGACTTGATTGTGGAGCTTAGGATTTTCATTTTGTTTTGTTTTTCAGTATCTCACATGATTTAATCACCTCGTCCTGGGTTAAATAACTCATCCCTCTTTGTGATTGATTTTTTCCATCTAGGAATATAGAAAAGTTGCTATCTTGAAATATAGAAATATGATGATAATTACTGAGCATATTTTATTTTTTATTGGTGTGTTATAGTTGTACATAGTGGTGGGATTCATTGTTTCATATTTGCACATGCACACAATAGAACAATATAATTTGGCCAATATCATCATTCCCCAGTGTTACCTCTTTCCCTCTTCTCCTCCTTTCCTCTGTTCCCAAAAGGACAGAGCAATAGTCTCTATTTGAGTCATCTCCCTTTGGTTTTCATGAACTGAGCATTTTTTAAAATCCTTTGAATTCCCTGGGTGAAAGAAATTATGGAAAATTAACCTGCAAAGAAGCTAAGACGAGTATTTGACAAATATTATTTCATCCAACCTCAACATCTTCATTAAAGACCAATATTAAGGAATGGAGATGCTAAATGACTTGTCAAAACTGTACAGCAAGAATGCACATTTATTCATTAACACAYAGATGTGTATAATTTCTTATGAGTGCCAAGAGATGTTTAAGACAACTTAGGAAAATTTACAAAAGTAATAATAAGAGATTCTGTATTCATCTCAATCTAAACTACATATAACATAGATCAAATCTGTATTCATCTGAGACTTTAGGGAAACATTTAGGCTTCTCTTCTAGATAACTGAGGTTCATTTAAAATTAAACTTGAACACCAATTTACAGCATTCATTTATCACTTGTCTACAATTGCACTTGAGGTTAAATTATGAGCATGGAGTCAATTTTTACAAGCATAAATACCCATTGCCTTCTTGGGGGATAATTACAAACTTGTACAACATCAGCTGTTAAGGTCTACCATACTTTCAAAATCATATCAAAATTAAGTAATCAATTTTTCATGGTAACTAGCCCCTCCTGGACAGAATTTCTTTTCATTTTTGTGATCTTATCACTGACCCCACTTGGCTGTCACCATCACCTGGGCTTCCTCTGCTGTCTACACTGAAGCTCAGTTTCTCAGGGATTTAGAGAAAAGAACTGTTAACTCTTTCTCTTTACCCCCATCATCCTAGCACAGATTTTTTTTCTTGCCTGCTCTTAGGAACTTTGAATGAGCTCGCAAAGTCTTAGGGAAGGGACAGCTTTGTTTTAGAGAGGGTGAGGCCATTTTGAAAAATGGCCCCAGCTCTCCCTTCTAGCTTGAGTAAAAGTGGGAAAGCAAGAGGAAGCTGAGCAKGGAACAAGACAAGGAAGAATGACAGTTTCTTCATTCCTGAGGAGGYGCCACTTCACCTTAGTGGGAGGGTATGTGGACTCTACAACAAAGCCAGGCAAACCCATAACATAAAAAGGGAATGCAGACTTATTCCAGGGTGACAGGCAAATGCCTTGTATCATTTAGCATTTTAGGTTACTGTTGACATTTCCATAGGTAACTGGGACTATTATACATGGATAGAAAGAGCAGGGCTGAGAAGAGCAGTAGGAAGGAAAGAATTACTTGTCAATGATTTTATCTTATAGTACAATCAGTCTCTATTCCTTTGCAAACTAAATGAATAGGCAGAGGTGGCCAGAAGTGTGCAGTGTATTTGTGGAAATTGTCAATGTGGAAGTAAAGAAAAGCATTTGGGTTAGCAAAGACCACTGAAGTGAATGAAAACTTTTCGAAATTTCACCTCCCTAAGGAAAAAGTATTCCACAAACTTCAGTTTGAAAGACTAGTTTTAAAGAAAGAAGGAACAAGCTAAGTAGGGGGTTCAGGCTTGGGATAACAAGTTCAGAACAAATATGCAAGGAATTTTAAAAGAAAGTAGTGTTCATTGATTACATAACTAGTAATTTTTAAGAACCCCACTTTAAAAATTTGATTTTTTAAAAAGGGTGCTTATAACGCTCGCTTGTTTATGTATTGTCCTTTTGCAACAATAAATGAAAAATGTATGTGTGTTTACAAGSGAAGTTGTTGACCAAACTTTTCAAAATGAAAAAGATTTATACATTGTGTTGTGTAAACACAGTTGATGGAACCCATCATACCAGCAATGGGTATGTAACTCATTATTTTTTTTTTTTTTAATTTTTACCCCCCCAAAAAAAAAAAGTCCTAACAAGACTTCGATCCTCGCTTTACAGCTCTAGGTCATTCCYGTCCCACCAGATACTCTCCCCGTTGTCCACGCATCCAGCGCGCTCACGCACGCGCACACACACACACACGCGCGCGCACCTACATGCACACAAACGGACAGCTCGCCCCTCTGGTCTGTCACGCGAGCCCAGCCTTCTCACTTTACCTCSCGAACAGGCAGGATGCCGGCCGCCGCTGGCTCCGTAGCTGCCATCGGTCTCCGCCTCTCTCCCCTTCTGGTTCAGCAGATTGGGGCCCTCTGTGTTTTCAACAGGTACCATGGCCACGTAGAGTTACAGCCTCTTCCTCGCCAGCAGACTACCCCGACCTCCCCCGCGGACAGGAGTGGTCACTTGTCCCATGGTAGCATGCTAAAGAAGAGTGAGGGGGAAAAAAAAAAAAAAAAAAAACTTCGGGCAAAGCCAATGTGATTTGTGACCAACTTTGTTTCTATTTCCGAAGGCTTTGCCCTTTTCGGTGACACAGGCTGTTGCTATTCCAAGCAGCCTATCACAGCCAGGGGGAGGGCCCCGTCTCCAGGGTTGTTTTTGCCTTTAGATGCGGACTTGGAAGCAAGAGGTTAAAAGACTCTGGGACTGGACTCAGACACAGTGTTTGGCCATTAGCTAGGGCTAGCTCTTGTATGCCTGCACCTTTGAAAAGAGGCAGAGAAAAGAAACAGATTTAAATGCAAGCTGAGAGTGGGGACAGAATAACTCAGATTTTATCAGTTAATCTTGCAGAAGAACAGTTTATGCAAAGACACACCAGAAGGAAAAGTGTGTCAAGTTTTCAGCAAGTCTGTTGTTACAGGAATCATAACACTTACCAACTTAAACAAAGCATAAAACGTCTTTAATATTTCAGCAGCCTAAATTGGGTCTAGGTAAATGTCTTATTTACCTCTCTCCAAGGCCTGTCCAACAAATCAAGGCTTGCTACCAATTCAGAATACATAGATTCTTTAGACTTATTATATCCTGAGATTATAACAAAGTAGCTTTTTAACGTGTAACTGTCTTTAAGAGAGGCACTAATCCTGAATCTTCTGTCAGGTTGCTTGATTGCTTGGATAGGAGGATACTCCTAGTTGGGGAAGGCTGGCTGGTGGAAAAAATCCATTGTGTGGGTGTGATGGTCATATAATCTGAAACAGAGTGTGTGAAGGGAGGTTTTTTTTCTTATTCATGCAAATATATATTAGTCTTTCAGAGCTATGATTTTTTTTTACCTTTGGTATACATTTAGCAAATCATATTTATTGAAAATTTTATAGAGGAACCTAGGATTATTTTAGAAAATCATTCTGAATGAAAACTAAAATATACCTAATACATATGTGCCAGAAATAATGCTAAGTTCATTCAAATGATTCTTCTGAAGAAAATAAAAACTTGTGAGGCATGTGCTACTATTACTGAAGAGAAAACGGAGGCTGAGTAACTTGCCTCTTCTTGACCTTAAGAAGATACCCTGAAGTGTGATCAATAGTCCTAGTCACTCCTCTGCACAGGGAACCAATCCATGCTTGTGTAGGCAAAAGATGACTATCTTTGCTTACTTTCCACATTTTTACTAGATCACCACCAAGCTCTTCATTAACACCATTTTTAAAAATTCTTTCTCATCACTAGATATTTCTGAACTTTTCTTATCCTTCAGGGAATCAGACACATCTGCCGATAATGCAGAAAAACTGAAGTCCTTCTAGTGTGGCCCAGGTCTGTTCTGATTAACAGGGTAGAATTACAAATCCCACACATCAGCTTGTCCCCASTGAACAACAACATCAACAACAAYAATGCTTAGACATGTGCTCTAATTTGTTCCCAGGATGTGTGATGATGGTAGGAGCAGGAGTTTTTAGTCTGTGAGACACACATATTTTTTATCAGTTCTCCATCTTCTCTTGGGTTCTATCTTCTCTCTGCTTGGAACCAGTGACCTTAGTGTTGGTATGGGGAGACAATGTTCTTGCTGTGGGTAAGTCATATAATTGCTTTGTTTCATGACCCTCAGGACCCGTGTCTTTAGCAATTTGTTGGCAGGGTGGAAGTGTTGGACTGTTTGCTATAACAATTGAGTAGGCACGAGATAAACCTGATTCCAGATTACCAAATCATGCTTAGGAGGAATTCAACAATTCTCCTTTTGCTTTCTGTAGCTGAACTATACAGGTTCTCCATGGGTATCAATTAATCAGAAGTTAAGAGAAATAACGAAATGTGACTGACCATATTGTCCATAGGTACACCTAATTCTCTTCCTTTTCTATTATTGTTGGCCCGACAAGGGCCACTGGCTATATCAAGCATATTTCATTCTCTTAACTCAGAGAAAAGTTTAGAAGGGGGACATTCCTTTCATCCAAACAAAAGAGGGACATTTTCTCTAAATCCCTTCAAGACCCTATACTCCTTCCCAGAAATTTTCATACTTCTAACTTATTATAGTTACATACAGTGATTTGATTGCATCTATATTCCTTGCTAGATCAAAAGCTCCAAGAACGATGGACCAGGCCCATGTGGTTTACTGTAGCATCCCAAGTGCCTTGTACAGAAAAAAAAATTCTTGGTAAATATTCCTGGCTCTGTTAGGATTCATATAAGAATACTCCAAAGCTTAGTCCTGTGGCATGCTGGGTACTTTGAACAGAAAGTTCAAAAGGAAAGGCATCAGAAGCAATGTTTCTTTGACTTTCTTCTGCCCTCCTACCTCCCACCCCCCTCATCCTCCCATAAAGCAAGTGATAGAAATCAGAATTCCTGTTCCTCAAGGTGGTGATAGAAACTAGAATTGCTTTTTTCCAAAGCAAGCTGTAAAATCTAAAAAGGTTACACTCTGTCCTTTCTTCCTTGAAGAAAGTCCTGCCCCACAATCAGTAGGAAGGAATACTATATGGAGAGGCCAAGAAGAATCTGGACAGGCTATGCTGTGATTCCCCACTCATTTTATTATGATGAGATCATATTCTTTTGTCCATTCATATTTTATAGGCATGTCCATTCTTCATCAAACCTAAACATAAAAATGGACAATTTTACCTGGGTCTTTGGGTCTTATTTCTGAAGTCTTATATGTCGCGCAAAAGTTTGATTAAATTTATTATGCTTTTCTCTTGTTAATCTGACTTTTGTTATAGTCATGCCAGCCATTACCCTTATGATAGGGAAGGAGAAATATCTCACATTTCTACCCCTTCAGCTGACAGACTGATCCAGTGAACTTTATCATTACTAGAAAGTGAGCTCCAAGAGGACAGACACCTCTGTTTGTATGTGTATGTGTGTGTGTGTGTGTGTGTGTGTGTGTGTGTGTATGTTCATCTGTTTCTGTATCCCCAGTTTCTAGGACAATATCAGGGTTTTTTTTTTTTAAAGAAATGATTGCTCACAAAAGGAACTTTTAATGAACAAATAACTCTTTAGATTTTTAGTATCAAAACTCATGTGATGATTGCTAATGATACTTCGTCTTTCCTCTCTCCTTTCTGTCCACCTCTTTAAAGCATGTATCATCACCAAAAGTCACTGCAGTTGGAGCTACTACCATCATTAAAAGCTATTTCTCCACTCAAGGAACGTATAATCAGCCATCAGCAGACAGCTCATTGCTCATAACCCCCCAAATTTAGCTACATACCATTTTAGCCACTGCTCATAAGCAATGCTATCAAATCCCAAAACACWCATCGTGACTTAAAATTAACAAAGCAGTGAACTAAGTGCTTTGCTTTATTAAGTAAATACTATTACCTCCTTTTGAAGAAATCAGAACTAAGAAGCTTATGAAACAGATCCAAGATCAAAAGACATTTTCTAATGTTTGATTATGAAAATTTTTAGTCACAGAGAAAAACCTAGCTGCTATAACATTTTACTGTGCTTGCCCATCTACCTACCTACTGACTCTTCTATTTATCTATTGATCTATATTAGTTTTTATGTATTTTAAAGCAAACTGGAATACTTAGCATTAACTAGAGATCAATATTTGTTTAGATTTATGTACTTTGGAGGGGGCAAGTTTTACCTAAAATGCAGAGCACAAATCCTCAGTTTACCATTGGATGTGTTCAGAAAGCACACATACATGTACCATCCAAATCCCTCTTACATTACAGAACTTGACTGTTATCCCAGAAAGTTCTTCATGTCTCCTGTGTCAATTTTACTAAYCTCTAGAAGTGACCAAATGTTCTAATTGTTTTCTACATAAATTGCCTTTCCCTGTTTTAAATCTTCATGCAATAGAACTGTTGAGTAATTACTCTTGGGTAAGACTTCTTTCACGGAGCATGATTTCAGATACATCATGTTTTTGTGTATACTGGTACCTCATTCTGTCTATTGCTAAATGATATTCCACAGGTGAATATACCAAAGTTAAGCCTTTCTCCTACTGATGGGTGCCTGGACTGTTCTACCTCAGCTATTATAAATAAAGCTGCTTATGAGCATTCTTGTGCAAATCTTTTTGATGAACATAATATTTCAAAGCACAGCAGTCCAAGTCTGTTTGGTTCCAACCCTACGTGCTTTCCACTACACCCTGCTGCTTCTCTGCAGTGCACTATATTTGTGTGGAATGCATCTCCTGAGGTTTTATTCCAGAAGTGACGGGTTCACAGTGCAAACACAAATGGGTAAATCTGATACTTAGGTAAATAAACAAAATAATCAGATACAAATTCAATTCTGTGTTAGCTGTATTCCAATAAAATACCAGAATATGATTGAAGAATATGTATTTTTTCATCTATCTATGCTATTTAAATTACTCTCTAAAGGTTTTTAATGTGACATTTTTTCCTATATTTCAAATGGTGCCAATCATAATATAATGATTAAAGTTCCTAAAATTCTAAAATAAACTGAAACTTGTTGGCACATGCCTGTAATCCCAGATATGTAGGAGGCTGAGGCAAGGGAATCATGAGGCCAGCCCGGGCAATTTAGCAAGGCCCTGTCTCAAAGATGAGAAATTATATCCCATCTATGTATGATATATCAAAGTGCATAAATGCATTCTACTGTCATGTATAACTAATTAAAACAAATTTTTAAAATTTTAAAAATAAAAATAAAAAGATTCAGGGATGTAACTCAGTGATAGAGGAACCCAGATTCAATCCCCAGTACCAAAACAAACAAATAAATAAATAAATCACAGTTAAATTCTTTTTATGCCCATTGGATGTAATATTATATGTAATTAAGTGAGAGATTTGTAGAAATGTGATAAAGTGTTATTTCTATTATTTTAAGTAGAAAAACCATTGGAAAATTACATACTCAATGCTATCACAACATTTTAAAATATATATGTATATTGTTTGAGTCTGGAAGGGAATTTGGAAAAATTGAAAATAATTGATACATTGGGGTGGCAAATCATATGTAAAAATACCCAGTTATAAAATGTTTGCTTTGCTTGCTGAGGGTATAGCTCAA